AGCTATTTGTAAGACCTCCTCAGATTAAAGATTTACCAGAACCAGTATAAGCATTCTCCTTGACTTGATCAGAAAAACTGAAAAATACATGGAGGGGTAACTTCCTTCTCATATGACTTGATGTTACTCAATTCTAGGTCTTCCTAACACCTAACATGATCTCTGCGATCAGCAGAGTAAGAGTGCCACCTTCAGAAACCACTGCCTTTGAAGATCTAAGTAGACATTTCTATGTCTAAATAAACATTTCTATGTCTAAATAGACATTTCTGTAAATCATACTGATGGCTAAAAAGCACATGAACATATGCTTAACACCACTAGTTAATAGAGAACAAAAAATCAAAACTAAAATATAGTATCACCTCGTACCGGTCAGAATGGCCATCATAAAAAAATCTACAAATAACAAATGCTAGAGAGGGTGTGGAGAAAAGGGAACCCTCCTTCACTATTGGCGGGAATGTAAATTGGTAAGAGCCACTATAGAGAGCAGTAGAGAGGTTCCTTAAAAAACTAAAAACAGAAGTATCATATAACTCAGCAATCCTGCTCTGGGGGATATAGCCGGAGAAAACACTATTTGAAAGGATATATGCACCCCAACGTTCACAACAGCACTATTTACAATAGCCAAGACATGAAAGCAACCTGTCCGTTAACAACTGAATGGATAAAGAAGTGGTATATACACACAACGGAATAAAACTCAGCCATAAAAAAGAACGAAATAATGCTATTTGCAGCAACATGAATGGACCTAGAGATGTTCATATTAGGTGAAGTAAAATCAGAAACAGAAAAACAGATGGCATATGATCACTTATATGTGGAATCTAAAATATGACATAGATGAACTTATCCACAAAACAGAAACAGACTGACAGATTGAGAAAACAAGCTTGCAATTACCAAAGGGGAAGGCTGGGGAGGGGAAAATCAGGAGTTTTGTTTTAGTAGAGACAAATTATCATATGTAAAACAGATGACCAACAAGGACCTACTGTATAGCACAGGAAGCTATACTCCGTACCTTGAAATGAGCTAGAATTGAAGAGGATAATAAAAAGGATCTATAACTGAGTTACCTTGCTGTACACCAGAAACTAACACAACATTGTAAATCTATGATATTTCAATAAAAAGTAAAAAGGAAGAAAAACACAGCCTTATGGTAAGAAAATTCCTCTGCTCTATTTCACAGGAGGTGGGCAAATATATCCCGAGTTCTTGAAACCACAAAGTCTTTCCCTTCTCCATTTCCATACCCTCCTGAGACTGCTCATTGAAAAATGGGATTTCAATGACTCCTGCCCTGCCTCAGCACCCTCATCAGTTTCCTACCAGAAGCAGAAATGGTATGTTGAAAATGAGGGCAATAATTTTTAAAGTAAGTGTATCTCTTGAAAAAATCTGATCATATATTTTGGCTTCCCACTTCAAAGACCCAGGAGAGTAGGACAAAAGAATTGAGAGGATACATGGTCTGCTTCAGAATAATCCACCTGTAGCCAAGAGACGGATACAGTGAAAGATGAGAAGGGGCTACACATACACACTCACACACATTTTTTTCAGCCACACAACGTATTTCACACATGAATACAGCATTCTTATAATATGCACCTAACTCAAAATGACCACCTGGGGGCAGGACTCTGGTTGAAACAGAAGATGCAACCTTGATAAAGGAAGCGAGAGAGCTTGAACCTTCCACTGCTAGGTTTGAACAATACAGAGCGGCATTTTCAATGGATGCTAATAGGGGTTAGTTGAATAACATTTGGGAAACTCATGGATAAACAAACAAGATTTATTTTTCTTTGGTAAATCTTCAAAGCCTTTAAAATGCCAATATGCACTGTGAATAATTCAGAAAGAAATGTAATGCCTTGCATTTCCCAAAGTCACTTGACCATGATACCACTCTCCCATCTTTGTTTTTTTTTGGATTATTCTATACATTAGAGTCTCAAAAAAAATACTCTTGGACAAACTGGGTTATGCACTATATTCCTGAATTTCTGACTGTACTTAGGAAAAAAGAAAAAGCCAACTTCCTTATAGACTAGGACATGATAGGATAAGATATTAGAGTTCCAGCAAATGGGTAAAATACTTGGTAGCAGCAACAATAGAATTTATAAGTACTACATAAAACAGGCTTCAACGGAATCCTGGTTTTAGAATGTGTCAATAAAGTATGGGCATCAGTTGCTTGCAGGAATAGTCAGAGACAAGAATCAGAAGATGAATAGGGCAGGAAAAGGGCTAAATTCGTCAGATGATGAAATGGAGTTATGAGAGCAGATGAAGGATGATCCTCCAAAGGGTACTTTTTGGGGTAATCGAAATCAAGTAGCAGAGATGACAGTTAGAGATTAGTAATGGGAAAAGCTGTGAGCAGAAGCAAGGAGGAAAGGAGAAGAAATACAAGCTTCAGAGAAAAGAAATGATGAAGAGGATTCTGAGTAAGTCCAAACCAGAGGGAAGAAGAAAATGCACCTGCATGAACACGCACAGGCTCCTTCATCCTGTCAGATGAAACTGGAGACAGAGGAGCAGTATTAGCAGTGAACTATGATGAAGAAAAAGGCAAAGAGAGAAGTGGAAAAACAACTGTGGCTTTAGAAGGCAGATGAGCAGAGGTTATAAGGAGAATTCATGTAGGAAGGAGAAAGGAAGTGACAGGAAGAAACATGAACTTTGGTAGACCTCTTTGAGATCTCTAGAAATGGCAAAAACAAGGCACTTGTACCTCTTTTATCATACTGATCATGCTTTATTTTCCTCTGAATATAGATCTGGCTTCAGAATCCTTCTCAAAACAGCACTCTAGTTAGCCACTCCTCACTGATTTGACCTGATGCTAGTTTTGAAAGCTGCGTTCTATGGTATTAAAAAACAAAAAATACAAACAAGCCCTCTATGGGGTGACTGAAGAGTAATAAAGAAAAAACAACTTCTAGCTAGAAAAGCAAAATGCTTCAATGTGAGATGTTTATTAATATGGACATAATAATGTACACATATGGAAGTGAGTAAATGTATATATGAGACATCAGCATTTCAAACAGGTAGACCAAAGCATTCAATATCTGTAATCTGAAACTGTGCTTTAAGCATTCATATGCACATGAAAATCAGCTCATCCTTCACCTTGGCAACTGAAACCTTTAAACCCCATAAACTGGTATGAATTACATTTTGAGTTAAGTAGCTGATATCAAACAACAACATGTTCAAATAATCTGAGTTTTCTCCTTCCTTCTCTACATATGACACTATATTGGGCTCAACTTCTTAAAAGGTTAGCATGAACACCAAAGAAGTTCTCCTTCCCACCACATGACACATTTTTCAAAAGAACATATAAATAATGCAACAAGCTAATAGCATTGATTATGATCAGGCAATGGTGACAGCTGGGGGAAATATTGGGATTTTTATCAATGGTGATAAAAAAGAAACCACACTCATTTTCACTCTGAAACTAAATTTTTAAAAAGGGAGGAAGGATGGAGTGTGACAGGTTGCTTTGGTTCCCATTTCCTGCTCCACATGTTCATTAATTTCACCCAGATCTGAGCATCTGAGGCCTTTGCGTATTCATACAAAGAACCACTTGAAGGCACACAATGCCCTCAGATTTTCCCTAGTCAGGGAAACATTCAGTGCTTTCTTTGAACTATTTTGTTTGACTATCTCAGTACGTTATTCATGTTCTGCCAAACAGCTCATAATGCTTTGAGGGAGGAGAGCTGCTATTAGGGGTTATCCTTTTTGTGACTCTATTCTGAATTAACAACAATAAAAAAGATGTTCATTATGCTAGGTTAGTTTAATTGAGATCGAAAAGGAGAGAGGCAGTGGGGAGGGAGGGAAGAGAACAGTGATCTCTCAAGAATTTTTTGCAGCCTGAGCGTCTATTGACCCAAATACATTCATCATCATGGCTCCTGGGAACCAATGCAACAGAATCCTAAGTGGCCTCCTACATTGACTCCAGCCCTTTTTACTTCGGCCAGGGTAATCCTCTCAAAACACATGTCTAATCATACATGCCTATCCTTCCTCTCTGTGGTCTAGCAAGGTTCTTCGTGGTGTGGCCCCTTCTGCCTTGTGGCAGATTATGGCATACCTTGTTCTCTGGAGTCCAGCCTCACGGGCCTTCTTTCAGTGCTGCCATGCCACAGGGCCCTGCTGGCCACAGGGCCTTTGCACAAGCTGACTCTGCACGGAATGCTCTTTCTACTCCCAACTCCTTTGCTCAGCTTTTATAATACTAGCCTAAATGTCTTATAACTTCTCAAGAAGGCCTGCTCTGAATCTGTCTCTACACACTGGTTCAGGTTCCCCTGATGTCTCCTCACAAAGCACTCCTTCTTCCTCAGCATTTGTATCTATTTGTAGCTATAAATTTGTGAGAGCTTTTTTCTGCTCCCCCACTCAACTGTAAGCTCTGTTGGACTATAACAGAGACTACTTTCCTCTCCACTGTTCAATCATGCACTATACACACACACAGTGAGTCCTTAATAAGTATGTGCTCACCTAACAAATTAATGGATTGTGCCTCATGTAATGTACTGCTTAGCTGATATATTCATAACTGTGGCACACAGAGAAAAATTTTGAAAAAATGCTTATATTGTAAACCAAATATTATTTAGTAAATATAATACAAAAAATTCTATCAAGCTCCCCTGCATATCCTATTGAAACCAGCAGGTGGTGACTAAACTCTGTCAGGTAAATACATAAAATCTCCAGAAAGGAGATTGTATCTCACATTTCCTTCTGTTCTCTGCTCTGAAGGAATGGAATCCTTATTAAGGCTGCTAAGTGAAAATGTAGTCAAGTCATTCTGTTTGGAGAATAAACAAGGTGGATATCACTATAACCTTCTGGGGGAACCAATCTTCAACTTGGGAGTTGGCCAGAATGATGCCATTGAGAAGAACCACCTGGAAGGTGAACCATGGAGAAACATAACTTACGTTGGTTTTGAAGCCTCGGCCTGGTCAGTCTGTAGTTTCTCTCCTCCTTCCACCTCCATCGTGCAATATACAATGCGATTTGGAGCTAAGGATTTGAGGCCTTGGACTTCCATGATCACCACCTGGAAACAGAATTGCACACAGCCGAGGTTACTGTCAAAGTCTATGGACAGCATCAGCCAGAGGAAAACAGATACATTAAGACCTGTCTCATGCGTATACACAAAACTCCAATAGGTATTTGAGAACTTCAGTCAGGTTTCTACCAGCCATTTTGGGACACGTCCAGTACAAAGCTGCAATTCTTCATAGTATAACCAGTATAAGCCTCCCAGATGGAAAGGGAAGGTTCACTAACTCAGATGCACACAGGAGCCAGATTAAGTGGAATGGGCTACTCTTTTCTGTGTTAAAAACACATAAGATCTTGATTTTTCATTTCCACAAGAAATAGACTCTCCTATTTAAAAAAAAGTACAGAGTCTAGCTTTTAACTCAGAACCTGATGGAGACATAGGCCAAGAAATTCACTTTCCTCTTTACAAAAAAGTAAGTGATAACACAAGTGTTAAGATAAAGGGCAAGCACCATTTGGCATGAGAGTTAGACATGCAAAAGGGAGTGATAGGGACTGTGGCAAACTGGAGAGCTCCATTTAAAGGGGGCAATTGCTACTTTGCCACAGCCCATGTAGCCTTGCTTTATTTCAGTCTAGAGGTAAATGGATTGCCAAATACTCCACCTTCTGCTACCAGCAAATGGAAACCTGAATCATAGTCAAAGTTAGAAATCTGAACTTGAAATTGTGACAATAATTTTAAGAGAGAGAAATAAAATTAACAAATTTTGTGCAGGCTAACACTGTAGAGTGAAAAAAAAAAAGCCTACAGTTGTATACTCTCTGTTTAGATTGAGGAAAAGGCTGGGTTTGGATTGACCAAGTTGTATTATTTACAACTCCTAGAATTTCCCACCACTACCTTCCAACTCCATTCAACCACTTGCTATTTTCATATTTAGTGGTACACACTGCCACTCATCAGAGGGGAGGTAGCAGAGAAGAGAGAAGAGGAGACACTGATTTAAAAATCAGGAACAAATGACTTGCATCAGAGATTGATACAGACCAAGGGATATTAACAAATCACTGACTTTTACTCCAGAAGAGCTAATGCCATTATACAAGGAGAAGGATATGGGTGTGCAAACAATGTACGCTTCTTTAATGGGCTCGATTCAAAGAAGTCTTAACACAACAGGGCCTGCAGTGCCTCGGGATTCACAAGTCAATTTTCTGCATAATAGCCCAGGGATTCTCAAATTCTGTGTGAATTAGAATTGCCTGGAAGGATAAGCCAGACACCGCTGGGCTTCACCCCCTTAGCTGCTTACTAGCAGGTCTTGGGTAGAGCCCAAGACTTCTCATTTGTAACTAGTTCCCTGGTGATGCAGATACTGATACTGCAGATCCAGAAGCCAGTATACCACTCATCAGATACTTGGCAAATTTTGACTATCAAGTCACTCTACTTTTAAATCTTCTGAGCCTCAGTTTCCTCATCTGTAGAGTGGGGATAATGGTACAGGTTCTATCTCTGTGGCTACTGTGTGAGGATCTAAAGAAATATGATGCATGTAACTGAACATCCTTTCACTAGGTGGAAAGAACCATCAAAGGAAAAAAATGAGCAGCACTAGGAAAAGAACACAATTTTTGGAGTTTTAAAGATCTGAGTTCAAATCCTGAACCTGCATCTTCACTAGCTGTATAATGATTTACAAGGTTCTTAACTACTCCAAGGCTTTGTTTCCATATCTGCAAATGCCTTGAATGGTTGTTGTGAGGATTCACTGAGTGAATGATGGTGAAGGATTCTACAGATACCTACTGCTTTTCATCAGAACCCTTCTTCCCAACCACCACCTGCCCAGGGACACTCCCCTTGTATTCCTGGACATCAGTTCTCCTGCTTCAGGTTAACTGTTCTCTACTGTCCCTTCCAGCCATGCAATTCTCTAATTATATAAAATATATCTGGTATGAGCCTGCAGGTTCAAACCTAGTCTGCCCTGATGAGATGACAGTCCTCTCTCTCTCTGCCTCTTTTTAGACCCCCTCGCTGTGTCCACCAAAACACATTCACAAACAGATACACAAGGCCTTCTGTTGCTGACTTAGAATGATGAGCAATTTAGAGTTCTAATTACAAAGTATTTGGGAAACCTAGGGCATTTCATTTTGTACTTACACTTAAAAGTTACAGCCTGTTTGAATCATGTACACAGGGAGTATGGCTACGGCCTCATCCACATCTGTATTTTTGACAATCAGCTGTTTAATATTGAGTATTGATAAAGAATTAGAAAATTACAGATTTAAAAGCTTCATGAAAATCAATAAACCACTTTCCCCTCACCTTTTAGTAGGAAGACAAGAGGCAGTAGGGAATAAATTGCCACCTTTAATTGGCAATAATCAAATTCAAAGACACCTAAGAAAAAGCATTCAGTACCTCAGGTGGCAGTATTAAAAAAAGGAAGGAAGTTTATGTGAAATTACACTGGTGATTTTTTCATGCACCAAGTGCTCTATATTTAACTGAATACCGCCTCTTCCACTTGCAAAATACATGTTGAAAATACTGCCATGTGACTATTCCAATCTGAACTGAGCACAGTAAAACAAATTACCAGCAGTTCATTCACAGCAAGCCTTAATGACGTTCTAGAATGTTAATTTATATCTTTACGAATTTTAATTAAATCTATAGAAATTTGATCCATTCTCTTAGTTTCCTCTCTTGGATTATCATAAAATCCTTACAGAGTTTGAGCTTTCATACTTTATGAATGACTCTCCAACTCTGGAGTATGTAAGGAGTACCTGGATAGCTCCTTAAAACACACGTTCCAGGGCTATGCTCAGTGTGGAGATTTTATTCCTGACAATTTTATTGAGGCATGTTTTACATATCATGTAATTCACGATTTCAAGTACACAATACGGTAATTTCAATAAATTTATTAGGCTGTACAACCATCATAACAACTCACTGCTTGGAACATTTTTCTCTCTCCCAATAAGTTTCCTTATGATCGTTTCTACCTCCTGTCCTAGACAATACTAACCTACTTTCAGTTTCTGGATATGTGCCTTTTCTGGACATTTCATATTGATGGCATCAAATAATATGTGGCCTCCTGCATCTGGCTTCTTTCACTAAGCATAATGTTTTGGATGTTCATCTATATTTTTAAAAATGTATCAGTAATTTATTATTTTTTAATTGGTGAAGAGCATTCTATGGATGTACCACATTTTTGTCTATTCGTTCACCTGTTGATAGACATTTAGATTGTTTCCATTTTTTGCTATACTGAATAATGCTGCTATAAACATTTGTGAGCACGTCTTCATGGAGACATGTATTTTCATCTCTCTAGGGCAGATACCTAAGAGTGGAATTGTTGGATCACCTGGTAATTTTATGTTTACCATTTTGAGAAACCACAAAGCTACTTTCAAAAGTGGCCACACCATTTTATATTCTCTTCCCCTAGAGATTTGGGTCAACAGTTCTGGGGGTGCTGGAATGTGCACACTGAACCAGTTTTTAATAATTCTGATGCAGTTAGATCAGATCCACTCCTTACACTGCACATATGATAAAACAAAGATGTGAGTCAAAGTGTCAGAGAACTACTGACATGTTGAGACTTCTGCCATAATTCTGGCCCAAACGGATTCTTTCTTGGGGTGATGAGACAAAGTAAACAAGTCTCCACTGCAACAAGGGCCTTTCTATGGGGAAGCCAATGGGAGAGAGAATCAGAGAGAAAACTGTCAACCTACCATGAAATGACGCTAGATTGATTTTTTTGAACATGGGTCACCAAAATGTTAAACTTTCTAAATTGTACAAGATATTTACAAAATCCTTCAGAGCTGCTTTAAAATGGACAAAGTAATTCAACATTAAATTTAGTAGGTGGTTCTTAAGATTGCATTTCCTAAGGAAAAGGATGGTTTCCTGGAGATGGGAAATTACTTGCTGATTAGCTGACCCATACCTAGCAAGCTGTTATTTTAATAACTGCTCCTGGGGAGCAAAAAGGAGAACAAGCTGATTGTGATGCATCTGATCACCCTGTCTGGCCTGCTCTGCCAGGAAACTCAAGGATTTAGGGCTTTTTACCTCCAAGGAGAAGGACAGCACGACGTCCGATTTGGATAGCTGGTTCTCACTCTCCTCGCCCATGTCAATGATGGAAGCGTTGTGGCTGCGTTTGAGCTTCTGAAGCTTGAACTCGCCACCTTTGGACACTGGCATGCTCTCCAAATTAGCCATGAGCAGGTTGACGGATGATTTCAGCTCCTCAATGTACATGTTTTCCATTTCTTTGGATACGAACTTGGGAAATTTGCGCTCCTTGTAAAGAAAAAGAAAGGAATGAGCCATGGAGTAAATAAAGGCTTGATTTACATAAAAGATTTTCATCTTTCAGCCCTGAGTTCTGATGACATCTACCACTAGTGAAATTTTCCCAGATACTGTGGCACATGCTAGAAAAATGTTCAGTCGAGTTGAGTAGACAGCTGCCTGCCTTCTAGTTATTTATCATCTCTAACAGGTAAGAAACACATAATACACAGTAAGAAAGAGAGAAATGTTTTATTATAGTTCTTTCTTTTTTCACCCAGTTATCTCCAGAATATCTGATCTATGGAATGAAAAATGGGGTAATGTTTTTTCAAATCTGGTTTCAAATCAAACAGTTTTTCTTTTTTAGGAAAATGCAGTCGTTTTTAAGCTGAAGAGACAGAAAGACACCTTATTTCTGGATATCTATAGAGATTTTCTCACATGAATAATTCAAAATGAGCTCATTTGAGATGTTTCAAATGTAGCCTGTGGCTATTTCTAAGAGGAATTAACTGTTTTCAAGAAAAATTGAAAGAAAAATTAATGAAGTGATGAAAAATATGATTAAAATTCCTTAGAAAAGAAGATAAAACAACTCAATATCAGAACTGAACTCTCTGTTCTTGTTTTTTGCTTTTTTTTTGACCACCCCATGCAGCATGTGGGATCATCAAACCCACACTACCTGGAGAAGTGTGGACTCTAAACCACTGGACCACTGGGAAATTCCCCTATTTTTCCTTTCTTAAGAGTTCAGTTGTAATGGCAACTTGCTTTAGCCAGGCTATGTGTTTCTTCACAGCTCTAAGTTGTCTAGATGTCTCGAATGAGTAGACTCTGGATCAATCACTTTCTCAAAGAATCAGTCCTCTGCACTCCAGCTCTATAACTGAGCAGGTGAGGGGCAAGTCAAATCAGTTTGATGTCTTTTTTTTTGCAAGTGACAGAAAAATCCAATTTGAACTGACTTAAACAATAAAAGGAATGCATTAGTTTGAAAATGTCCTAGGGTAGCACCAGCTTCCGACAAGGCTGGAATGAGGAGTCAGATAATATCATTATAGCTGAGTTTTTCCTTCAAAACTGGGTTTGGGTTTCTCTGAGTTGGCTTCATGCTCAGTCTGGCTCCTCTTTATGTCATAAAAAGGTTGCTAAAGTTCTGTACTTCAGAATACCACAGCACGCTATCTAAAGAAAGAGTGAACATCTTCTCTCATGATGCTCACAGAAGATGGAGCATCTTTATCTCAGAATTCTCAGAACTCTGATTGATGTGCATACCCTGAACCAGTTTCCATGGCCAGTAGTGGGTCATGTTGAATTGCTTAGACCTGAGTTATGTCTTCTCTCTCTGTGGCTCATGGTAGAACTCCACCTGGATCACAGGGGACACGGATTGGAAACATCAAGGTAGATGCTATGATGGAAGTAGATGAGAAGTGAAGTCTTCCTGAAAGATTCATGGGTGGCTTTCCAGAGAAGGTGACCCTTGCGCTGAAAGTGTGATGGATGAGGATGAGTCTGACACTGGGTTGACGTGACTGAGACAGGGCCACTTGTATTTGCCGATTTTCCATGAAAAATATAACAGGCAACCATAAATCCAAGAAGGTCTATATAAGCTGAACATGGTTGGAAATATTTCCCCATCTCTTTTTGAACATGGCACTTCTTACAAGTGAAGAGAAGGATGAGGTAAGTTAATTTATGTTAAGGCTACCAAGCAGCAAAGGATACATAATAATAGCCTGAAGGCTGTTACACTCATATATCTCCTTCCTCCTTATATGTGGGCCCAAACCTCATATCTGTATGGGATACTGGGGGAGCTGGGTAAGTGGTATCTTTAATTTGTACTAGAAGCAGCTGGCCCTGCAGTTGCCATGGAGATGGAGAGAAAAACCATCCTGACTAGGAACTGGGTTCTTTCCTGCCAATCAGCCTATCAAGTGTGATCCCTCATCACACACATCTTTGGGACTCACTGAAGGCCTTTTAATTTGAAAGGCCTTGAAACTCTGCCACGGTCTTGAAACTCTGAAAGAAGACTCAGTGGTTACAGACACCACAACTTTGGCCCAGAGGTGGCTTCCACCAAACTTTCTACAGCAGAGTATTGGAAAAATCCAGAGTGATCACTCCTCCCAGAACTTGGACAGTTCCTAACGACAGCATAAAAACAGGCTCATAAAACTGAAGTCTGCAAGGGAAAACAAGGCCATTTTTCTGCTCTGAGTACTTAAGCCTTGAGACGCAATAGTATTCTGTCAATCTTGGCTGAGGTTCTAAAGTGGTGTCTTCAGCAGCACACCCATTATAAACACATTTCAAAGCTGAAGTTGTGCCAAAATAAGGAAAATGTAGTTGTCCATCTCAATTGCTACATTTCCAAGCATAAAGGTAAATCAGCCTTGACAAAAGGATTGCTTATTCATATTGCTTTATGAAAGACACAGCACACGGGCACACGGGTGGAGAACGTCTCCCATAGACATTCTCTGCCAGTCACTCATTTTGGTTTCAGGATAATAACATTCCACAGCGGGGACAGCCTCCCAAGGACCACTCCTCACGGGGTTACTGATGCTCGGACACACTGAGGGATTTGGGGAACATCTTGAAAAACAGCATTTGAAAGTGCTAACAGCTCTGTCAGTCATTTGCTTTGCTTTTATGTCTCTTCCATTTTCACTCATTCAGAATGAAGCAGCTACATGTAAAAGCTGGCAAGGGTACTTGGATAAAGAATCCTTAGACCTCACAAGCACAAATAACATTGCAGATGGTCAGAAGGAAGGCTGTGGCACAAGGACACTCTCTAGCTGTGGAGCTTGCCTACAGACATGCCAAGGCAGTACGATGTCTCAGATCCGTCCTGGGATCGTTAGATAGTATGGCTGTCACTAGGAATGAAAGAGTCAGCTGAGAGGCAGGTGTCCAAGGTTGGGGGGATCGCCAGAAAGCGACCAGGTGCCACGTGACACATGTGGTGCGAGAGGCACGCGCAGGTCCAACGGGCACTGAGGAGCCTTGTCCAGCCCACACTGGTGCAACGGGCTCGCCCTGAATCCTGGGTCTGCCATGCACTAGCTATGTGACTTTGAGCAGGTTTCTTCCCCTGCCTGAATAACAGTGTTTATATCTGAAATGTGAATGACAAACCTTAAAAAGTTATTGTGAAGAGTCAGAGATAATAACATTAATACTTTTTGACCACTGAGCATTCATAGACATACATATACATGTATACACATATACTCAACCCATATATATATACACACACACATATATGTATATGCACACATACATATAATCCTACACAGATGTACATATCAAATTATGTCAGGCACCCTGCTACTACTAGCACTCTAATAACAACAATAGCAATAGCGATAGCAACAACAGCAACAGCGGTGAACGCGGAGAAGACCATGCTGCTAGGTGGCATTTACAGGTCCTGGGTACTAAGTTAACACTTTCTATGTTCTACCTCCTTTAATCTTTCCACAACCCAGTGAGGCTGGTGCTGCTATTTATTCCCATTTTCTGGACAAAAATGAGATACAGAAGTTCCATCCATAATCAGCAGAACTGAGCTTGAAACCCAGAGCCGACACAACAGGGCTGGATTATCTGGCCCCAAGTGGCGTCGGGGCTGAGGTGAATGCTTCGGGGCCTCTCAGCAGGGAGCACCCTCCACACGCCTCGCTGGACAGCTCACAGCGCTCAGCAGAGCTTGGGCCAGAGCCAAGTCCTCCACAGCAGTGGCCACCCCACCATCACCAGCCAACGTGGCCTGTAAGATGCGGGGTGACGGGTGAAGCGTAGGGAGCGATGGGGGAAGGGTGAGTGTCTTAAATGAGAGAAAGGAGGTCTTGGTAGTAACTGTCAAAATCAGCATCCCAGATACTAGAAAGCACTTGGGGCACAGCTAGTACAGCTTCCTGGGTTGGTTCTTTTACTCAAAGCTGTGTTTAAGTGGCTTCATTGCACTTTCTAGCTTTTATGAATTACGTAGACTTACTTTCCCTTGAATGAACCTCCCTGGCATTTAGATTTTTCTTTGAAGTCAGATTCCGCTGGGTTCTTAGCTACCTGTCAAAGGTCAGAGTCAGAGAGATGCTCCCTACACATATTTTTCAGAAAAAAAATTGAACTAAATTACTATATGCTTAGACACTGTGCTACTTTATCACCCAGGGTAGACGCCAGGTCCAAGAACATTCACTAAGGTGGACGTGGTATCATTCTCTGGAAGGAGAGGATCCACTCTGATCTGATTTTGGCAATGCATGGAGCAGAACTCTTCCATCATGGAAATATTTGGATGCTATTTCTCACGTAGGCACATCATCGTGTTTGCAATGGGACCATGGTATGAGATAGTCATTTTGCTCTGCAGAGAATAGGGTTTAAATGGCAACTCAACATTTAAATGATAGTTTGAAAAACCAATGGTATTTCACTCCCAGCGCTCTGCCTCTAATACTGCAGAAGCTGTAGCATTTGTCTTATATAATTAGCTCAAAACTTTTGGAATTTTACCCCAAAATGTGGCCAAAAGAACTGGCAAATATCACAGCAGCACTAATGCCACAAGCTGCTGGTTTAAGCTCCAATGTCAACTTCTAATCACATAATTTAAATAACTTAGACTTAATTCCTGGGTGAAATCTGGGGACACTTTAATGTCAACATGAGAGGATTTGGGAAAATGTTTGAGCAGGGATTAAGAAGTCTTTCCTATCAGATTTTTAGAAATGCATTCAGGTCCTGTCATGGAACTAAGGCAGCATGTCTGATGTTCACAGTGAGGGCTCACACAGCCGTCTGTCTGATGATTTGTTGGATGTTGGTGAGACTGAATTGACAGGTTACACGGTAGGGCTGTGGGTGGAGGAAAGCCACATCACACTTGGCTCCCTTCTCTCCGAGGAAGAAAGGACAAACACCTGCCTTTTCGTTTAAGTGCGTGAGGATGAGAACGCTGCTGGCAGAACCACCAAGGTCCCTACCACCTCTTTCCCAGATAACCAAGGTAGAAGGGATTCAGAATTCCAGGAGCCCACTCTGCTTGCTCTATACTACTGCTTCATTGGGCTGCTGGATGACCTGAAGGGAATGCACAGTAAATGGTTGTGGAAGAGAGAAAGCAGGCTCCAAGAGAGGCAACCAACCGTCAGGGAGGGAGGAGCTGGGACAGTCTTGTCCTGGTGGAACTTCCCACTTGCCATCTGACTACTAAAAAGAAAGAAAGTGAAGCTTGGAATTAAAGCACTCAGCTTCCTCCTTACTAACTAGGTGTGCTCTGGTGCACCACTTACACTTTCTGATGTGCCTGAATTGGGCAGAATTATTGCAACGCCCAGAATTGTCTGTCACAGGTCTGAATAAGACTTTATGTGAAGGGACCGGGATGGGGAATACATGTAAATCCATGGCTAATTCATTTCAATGTATGACAAAAACTACTGCAATGATGTAAAGTAATTAGCCTCCAACTAATAAAAATAAATGGAAAAAAATAAAATAAAATAAAATAAAAAGAAAAAAAAAAGACTTTACGTGAAATCACACAGTCAGTGTGATTTAATAAAGGACTGATTAGCAGAGAGAGGTCAGGATGCAGAAAAGTGAAGGCCTGGGTGAAAGGCATGTCAAACCCTTGGACTGGGATGATGGGGAAATGAGGCTTTGTGTTTGGGATGGCATTTTGGGATGGTAGTGTGCATGATGGTTAAGAGAGATGGTTCTGGTCACTGAACGACCTTGGGCAAGGCCTCTAACACCTATGCCTCAACTTCCTCTATTACCCTCAAAAGGGGATAATGATAGCACCTTTCTCATAAAGTTGTTGAAGGGTTAGATAGGTTCTCAGATGTAAAATGATTAGGAGAGAGTGGCACATAGTAAACACCACATAAGCAATAGTTATTTTGTGTATGCCTTCAAGCAGCTCCCAATTTATGACCACTCTACCCACAGCCCCGCTTTTAAAGTTAGCATCCTCATCCTCAGTGATGTATCACCAGCATCCACATGTTTCATTAAGACCCTTACTTCCTTTCATGGTGGATCAATCAATTGTTCCAGGGGCTGGCCCTTGAACTAACCTGGGTCATTCAGAGGTCTGACTCTTGAGATTGCGAATGTGAAAGGGGTAGTGAATAAAGGGGAAAGAGGAGACAGGGACAGAGATCTGAAAGACAGGTTGACTGGTTGAATCATTTCCTATCTGGTCATGCTGAAAACCTGTGGAACAGCCATGTTTCTCATTTGAGCAGCAAAGAAAGATGGTTTGCAGAGAAAGAAGGAATAATGAATGGGACACACAGACTCAAGAGAAGAGGGGAACCCTGACCCCTGGGTGGCCCCTGGTTCCACATTCTTCCTAGATCTTGGCTGTAACTTGCCCATGGGCTCTGTGAGACATTACCTAATTCTTAGAATTGATACCCTCTTGTAAAAAGCTTCCCTGTGTTGGAGCTTCTAATTTGCAATCAAGACACTCTACTCATCTTATAATTCAGAGAACAGAGTGAATTATGTATGACAGATGACATCTATCTCCAGGAATTTCTGGTTATGATATTTACAGGAGCTTAAGTTCAGCCATATGGGTTGAATTGCACACCCTCAATAAAATTCACTGTGATGCTAGAAATAGAAAAAACAGGACATGCTAAAATAAGACAAGCAAGGGTGCTTTGTTTCAATATCTCTTCATGAACTAGCTTTTATCTAAGAACTTGATACTTTATTTAATTTCTAGTAGACAAGATAGTTCTCACTCTTCCTTAGTATTAGCCAGGTTAGTTTAAGCAGAAGGAGAATTTATTTTCCTTGGCATTCCACTAAGCTAGACAAAAAGTAGTTCTGTAGCTGCAGGTCAAGAAGTAGATCCGGGGGGTTTGAACATCCTGAGGATCTCAGTATACGCTGTCTCTGTTTATTTCTGTATATTGGCTTCACTCTTTTCTCTTCTCTTCCCTACATGGAAGAATTATACATGACTGCAAACATCTTTTTACCACTACACAACACAGCTCTGTTGGTTCATGGTCCACAGATCTCAGGGGTTTCATTGGTTAGGTGCACCCATTTCTGGACCAATCATTGGTAGCCAGGATAGGCTGGAAGCTGTGACTGATTTCACTCGCATGAGGAGCTCACTTCCAGGACCAGGTAACCATGGCAAGAAGGCCAAGGGCGTGAACGAATATTGCACAAGAAAACAGTAAATGTCCAGGACAGCAGAAGATAGTAGTGGGCAGACTCACAGAAATCCTCCTGAATGTTTAAATATATGCTCAATATACTCTGAAATTATTCTCCATTCTCTGTAAATTGTGACCCAGATTCACTTCAGTTGCATATTTCACTGTTCAAGAAAGTCTAGTTCAAAGTTGTCAGTAATACTCTATTTGGTGTCAGAGTATCCAGTGACGTGGGCCAGGGGAGAGAGTTTCTTCATCTATTGATCAGAAATGAGCAACTTGGCTCACTATGTTAACAGCTGTTCATCCATGGTATTTTAAAAATTAAAATTAGCCTACATGAGTTTGTAAAATTATCTTGGTAAGCCTCAAAGTAAACAGGACAACTCAAATAAATGTGCCATGAGCTCATTTTAGAAGTGTGTATAAAATTTTAAGTGGCATGAATACTTACTAGCTGTGGATATAATAGCTGCCTAAGAGCAGGACATGGATGAAATGACCTCTGTTTTCTGGATTATCTGCCAAGGAGACACTGACTTTAGAGAAGTACATTTTAAAGCCTTATGGATGTTTACTCCCACATTAAGCAGGATTTTCAAACTGAGAGTCTTTTACACTACCTTTAGCCAAACAACTGGATACTATTTTTAGCCACCAGACTGACTCGAATATCAACTTTGAAGGTGTCCAAAAACAAGATGCAAAATATTTCAACAAAACTGCTTGAGCATGAAAGGGAATTTTCCTGCTTCTTGGAATCTCTCTTGGGTTTTTCCTCCAGTAGAATTCCTTTCCATGGGTGCAAATCCTGATACACTTCTTCCCATAAAGCGGAAGGCTGAACGCCAAGCTCTACTCTGCGTCCACCTTCCCCATCCTCAATTCCCACAGCCCCCACCCTCACCTGCACACATGGCCTGTGGCTCCCATAGGAACTGGTAGGATGCTGTTATTTAAAATGTTGATATTTTGTTCTTCATGGATATTTTTGCATAGGTTATTATTTTTAAAGTATTGCATTCAAATATTATTTTGATGCCCACATCCTCCCATCCAGAATTTTTTTTTTAAATTTTTTCCATCCAGAAGTTTTAAATTCTGTATCTGAGGTGAGTACCTCGCCCTGTGTCAGTCCTGATACTTAGTCAGACTTGAGTTAAAGGTCTAGTGTAGTCTCTTAACTGTTACAGAACTGTTTAGCTTAGATTTTTTCCCATCTCTAAAATAAGAATAACTGAAATATCGTTAAAGGACTGTTTGGAGGACTGAATGAGATGGTACATGTAAAGCATTTAACACGCTTGACACAAAGGCAATACTCAATAAATACCACTAGTGTGACTACTGTGAACAACAAGACAAACGGCAGTGTAGTAAGAAGAGCAGATAACACAGGCTGACAGTCATCATTAGGAAGACATAATCCCAACGCTAAAGCCATCCTACCTACTGGGAGACTCAGTCATGCCAGTGAAGAATCACCATTCAATGAACTGTCGTTACAAGGGTTTACATATGGCGAAAAAGAAAGCACAAAAGTGGGAGGACAAGCTCCTAGAGAAAGGGTCTTAAGTTGAGGACTGAAGGCTGAGTAGGACTGCATGATAAGTAGAAGAGAGGAGAAAGGTCATTCCAGGTTGAAACGCTAGTGAGCACAAAGGCACTGGGGCCAGAAAGGGCCTGGACTAGTCAGAGGGAGACATTCTCTGCAGCTGGAATGGGGAGTCCTGGTGGGAAAGTAATGGGAGGGTGAGGAAGGACACGGTCTGTGGATTAACAGCCTTGAATGTCACTCTAAAGGAGCAACTTCTGTTCTGGGGACAATGGAGTATTATTCTACTGAAGGATTCTGAGGCTCTGTTTTGAGATGTCCATATAACAGGGTTTAGAATGACAACTACGAGCAGGATGGACAGAAGATGGCGAGGGAGTAGAACTAGAGATCCCCATTTGGAGGCTACTGTAAGATCCAGGCCTGGAAGATGAGGATCTGAACTGAAGCACTAGCAGCGGTGCTGGAATGCAGTAACAGGGATCTGACCCACATTTGGGAGGCAGAATCAACGAGCTGGGTGGCAGACCGGGTGTGGAATGTTGTGGGGAAGAAGGAGAAATTGACAATAACCAGGACGTTTCATCCACAGCAATTAGACAGAGGACACATGGAGAGGAGTAAAAGTAGGTATGTGCTCTCAGTCAGAGGGAGAAGGTAAGGAGTGAGATGTTGAACACATCCAACTTAAAATGAAGGGGATTATCAAAGTGGAAATGCTCAACAGACAGATGGAAACACAAGGCAGGCACTCAGAAGGAAGGCAAGGCTGGGTCTGAGTATGGAGTGGAGTGCAGGAAATACATGCATTGTCTCAAGGACAGCGGCCCTGAGGAGGAGGGCTGAGGACTCCATCAGGATGACTGTCCTCATCTTTCTTCCTCTCTGATTCTCAGTTTTGTCTTTCCACGGCCCTTAATAGTCAGTGTGAGCCCTGTGCGGGACTCAGGCCTGGTCCCCCAGCAAATGTCCCCAGAGTTTCCTTACCCTGGCTATTTGGTCTGCCATTTGGAGACGGCCATCCAGCTCTCGTCTGATCTGGGCTGCTTGCTCATCCGGATTGTCCAGCTGCACAGAAGCACAAACATGGAGACTTTGAATTTGGGTGACGACAGAAGCCCACGAACTCATGACCTTACAATTAACACTCTTACTCTGTGCCCTCATGGATCTATTTCACTAAAACTTAAGTATTGTGTGACAGACCAATCCTTTTAGACAGTGTGATGGGGTAGGCAGGCTGTTGCTAAGAAAGGCATCTGAATGAACTTGGATAGAATCACTTATGAACTTCTAGGCAGTAGTATTTCTAATGAGGGCCTGATGCAGCACTTCCATTTGGGGTCCAACGAAGAAAGTGTTCATAGGGCAGACATACAGGGAAGGAGATGGTAATATAACCACTAGTGATGTATGGAGCAGACACAGTTAACATCCAAAGCACCTACATGGTATATATCCTGCTGCTCTCCCACCCCTGGACCATGGGTGATTAGTCAGTTATTGCATCCTTTCTCTCTGAGCCCTGAGACCTTCCCAACCAGTTCTCCTGATGGCGGCAGCCTCTCAGGTGGTGTTGATACCTTATATACACTACTATGTATAAAATATTGATAGATAACTAACAGAACCGACTGTATAGCATAGGGAACTCTACTCAGTGCTGCGTGGTGACCTGCACGGTGAGGAAATCCAAAACAGAGGGGATACATGCATATGTAGAGCTGAGTCACTCTGTTATATAGCAGAGACTGACACACACTGTACAACAACTATATTCCAATAAAAATTAATGAAAAATTAAACAGTACGGTAGAGGCAGGTGCATGCCTCCTTCTAACTAATTGAATGCATGCCTTAGAAACTATACTGAGAGTGCTTCAAAGGGAGGTTAGCCATGAACTGTTTGTGAAATTTGCAGTTAATTACCCACTCAGCTGACTTTTGCCACATCTATATGAAATTTACATGTGGTTAAAAAAAAAAAGAAAAGAAATCAATCTTTGCCTTTTCTGATGGGGAGACAATCCCCTAACTTCTCTGGTGTCAGTTTTACCATCTATAGACTAAAGGTGTTGGCTATGTAATCTTCAGCATCCCTTTCCCATATTTCTACAAATCTGTGAAAGATATTGGCAGGTATTTCTACAAAGGGCCATATAACGAATACTCCAGGCTTTGAGGGCCATAAGGTCTCTGCTGCCGTGACTCAATCCTCCAAATGAAGCATGAAAACAGACACAGACAATATCTAAATAAATGAGCAGTGCCGTGTTCTAATAAAATTTTATGAACAACAGGTGGTGGGCCATAGTTACTGATCCCTGCTCTAGGAATTAAAAGTTCTCTCTTCATTTCTAAGCAAGCTTAGCACTACCCTTCAAACTGTAATGAGACTGCTTTGTTCAGTAATTGATACATTATTTTATTCACAGAAGAGTTTAATAAGTACGGAACAGTGACATTCAAAAGGGATGTCCTCAATTCTTCGTTTCAGGACATATTAACTCACAACAAAAAGTCAATTAAGAGCTTGTGAGTTTTCTAAGTCTTTTTCTTTCAAGAGCCATTTTTATTCAGAAATTTGAAGATGAAAACCCAACTCCACACTTAAAAAAAAGAAACTCATCTACGCTATGAAATGGTACAGAAAATAAGTTATGTCTCAGTTAAGTTCAGTCACTCAGTCATTCAGTTGTGTCCGACTCTTTGTGACCCTGTGGACTGCAGCAGGATTCCCTGTCCATCACCAACTCCTGGATTTTACTCAAACTCATGTCCATTGAGTTGGTGATCCCAACCAACCACCTCATCCTCTGTCGACCCCTTCTCCTCCTGCCTTCAATCTTTCCCAGCATCAGGGTCTTTTCAAATGAGTCGGCTCTTTCCATCAGATGGCCAAAGTACTGGAGTTTCAGCTTTAGCATCAGTCCTTCCGATGATATTCAGGACTGATTTCCTTTAGGATGGACCAGTTGGATCTCCTTGCAGTCCAAGGGACTCTCAAGTATCTTCTCCAACACTACAGTTCAAAAGCATCAGTTCTTTAGTGTTCAGCTTTCCAGTCCAACTCTCACATCCATACATGACTACTGGAAAAACCATAGCCTTGACTAGATGGACCTTTGTTGACAAAGTAATGCCTCTGCTTGTTAATATGCTGTCTAGGTTGGGCATAACTTTTCTTCCAAGGATCAAGTGTCTTTTAATTTCATGGCTGCAGTGACCATCTGCAGTGATTATGGAGCCCCCCAAAATAAAGTCTCATTGTTTCCACTGTTTTCCCATCTATTTGCCATGAAGTGATGGGACCAGATGCCATGATCTTAGTTTTCTGAATGTTGAGTTTTAAACCAACTTTTTCACTCTCCTCTTTCACTTTCATCAAGAGGCTCTTAATTTCTTTGCTTTCTGCCATAAGGGTCATATCATCTGCATATCTGAGGTTATTGATATTTCTCCCAGCAATCTTGGTTTCAGCTTGTGCTTCATCCAGCCTGGCATTCTGCATGATGTACTCTGCATGTAAGTTAAATAAGCAGGGTGACAATATACAGCCTTGATGTACTCCTTTCCCTATCTGGAACCAGCCTGATATTTCATGTCCAGTTTTAATTGTTGTTCCTGACCTGCATACAGATTTCTCAAGAGGCAGGTCAGGTGGTCTGGTATTTCCATCTCTTTAAGAATCTTCCATAGTTTGTTGTGATCCACATAGTCAAAGGCTTTGGTGTAGTTAATAAAGCAGGAGTAGATGTTTTTCTGGAACTTTCTTGGTTTTTCGATGATCCAGCGTAGGAAGTCAAGAAACACCTGGAGTAACAGGCACATTTGGCCTTGGAGTATAGAATAAAGCAGGGCAAAGGCTAACAGAGTTTTGCCAAAAGAAGGCACTGGTCATAGCAAACACCCTCTTCCAACAACACAAGAGAAGGCTCTACACATGGGTATCACCAGATGGTAAATACTGAAATCAGACCGATTATATTCTTTGCAGCCAAAGATGGAGAAGCTCTACACAGTCAGGCAAAACAAGACTGGGTGCTGACTGTGGCTCAGATCATGAACTCCTTATTGCCAAATTCAGACTTAAATTAAAGAAAGTAGGGAAAACGACTAGACCATTCAGATATGACTTTAATCAAATCCTTGCAATTATACAGTGAAAGTGAGAAATAGAGTCAAGGGATTAGATCTGATAGACAGAGTGCCTGATGAACTATGGAAGGAGGTTTGTGACACTGTACGGGAAGCAGGGATCATGACCATACCTAAGAAAAAGAAATGCAAAAAGACAAAATGGTTGTCTGAGGAGGCCTTATAAACAGCTGTGAAAAGAAAAGAAGCCAAAGGCAAAGGAGAAAAGGAAAGATATACCCATTTGAATGAAGAGTTTCAAAGAACAGCAAGGAGAGATAAGAAAGCCGTCCTAAGTGAACAATGCAAAGAAACAGAGGAAAACAATAGAATGGGAAAGACTAGAGATCTCTTGAGAAAATCAGAGATACCAAGGGAACATTTCATGCAAAGACGGGCACAATAAAGGACAGAAATGGTATGGACTTAACAGAAGCGGAAGATATTAAGAAGAGGTGGCAAGAATACATGGAAGAATTATACAAAAAAGTTATGTCTACTATGATGTAAATAAGAAAACTGGATAATTTACAATCTCTTTTTTTTTCTTGGAAGTACCATGAATAGCCTTCTTCAGTTTGTTTTACAAAACATAAAATCTACCTGGCTTTATGCTCTGTCTTTTTATCACCCTATTCAATTAAGGAGTTGCCTTATCGTCTCTCTTCCACAGGTGTTTTTTTTTTTTCATTGAAGGATAATTGCTTTACACAATTTTGCTGTTCCAGAGTTTTGATGAACAGAACTATTTTCTAGATCATGAAGACTGGATTATAACTTTTGGCCACATAGTTAGCATTTCTCAAAGGGTGTTCTGCTGAACAACAACCTTATTAGATACTCCAGAAGAAAGGACTTGGAAAGGCTCCAAAAGAATGTTAGATAAGCCTGGAAAATGCTGTGTTGAAATACAGTTTCTGAGTTCTTCAGTAAGGAAAACTGTCAGATTTTGAAATATTTCAACTACTATTTAACTTAAAATTTTATTTTTCTGCATAATTCCCAGAGAACAAGAGTTGGAAATCCTGTTCTAAATTAATCAGCAGTCACACCACTGACCAGGGGTCCATCCATCATAGCTTGACAACTGGCACACACAGGAAACCTGGAATCCTTGGTGCTGGTTTTAAGCTCCAATTAAGTGCTTTTTAGTCTGTTTCTTAGAAGCTTCAGACTTCTTCATATCCAGGTGCAAACCCACTGGGAACACTTAGAAATGTCTCGTTCAAAATATGTATGCAAAATATATATACATCTGACTACTTCACTGAGAAGCAGCAAAATTATTTGGTTAGAGGCTACAGTCACGGGTTCTGTCAGAAGATACGGTGCTCACAGAGGCTAAAACTGAAAAGAAAAAAAAACGTAACAGAACTATTTCCATTATGAAAATTCTCAGAGGTGTCTGAGGGCTCCCACCGGCCTCACCAACTACAAATGGCAAAGCAAGCCAGCAATGAAGATGAGCAGGCTAGGTCTACATGAAACATCATTCATTCATTCATTGGTTTACTTATTCATCAAATTTTTATGGAATGTCTTGCTATGTGTGATACTGGAATACAGAAAGGAACAAGATGGACCCAGCCCCTGCCTCTATGGAGCTCAAAATCTAGAAAGAACAGGTATGATTATTTGAATAATTTGGACACAAAAGAGAGGGATTAGCATTTACTGATGCCTATTAGAAGAGCAGGTATTGTATGACGTATATTAAGCCCTTTTCTCAGGGGTTCCAAGAAATAAATCTTAACGTGCATTCTCCTAGGAAAAGGATTCTGGGCCAGGAAACATTGCTTCCTCCTGAAAATTCATAACACATATTTACATAAGTAATATTTAGGGAAATTCTGTAGTAAATAAGCCTACTTAACTGCATTTAATATTGTCTTTGACATAGTTATTTCAGTGAAAACAAGTGTTCCACGGGG